TAGGTGGGAACAAGCCGAGGCATAGCGGTTCATGTTCACGAACCACTGCTGATATTGGACTTGGGCCCCTCTATCGGTAGTAGTAATAGTGGCTGGGTTGCACCAAAGACGGGAAATCCTCATTATCAAGGAAATGTTTCGCTCCACCGGTTTCTGTAGAAGCAATCACGTAAAGTGGCGCGGCATACGGTGGCCCAACGCGTCTAACAGATCAATCACACATGACCATTAAGTAGACAAAAGGAGTTGGATAGGAGGCCTGAGTTAGGGTCCAACGATGTTCACAGATTGAAACATGTTTGAAAACGGAGCGTTCGGGAAGACAGAGCAATACGTGCCGCGGACGGTAATTCGTTGTGACGGTGGGATCTTGCTAGGTTTGACAAGTGATACAAAGTTTGGCCCACTGCTGGATCTGGGAGCGCATGTTGTTGCCGCACAATGAAGCGATTCAGTAATTAGCTTGACGGTGTGTGCTCGGATTGCTCGGGTTGTGAGATTCCATGCAGGTGTGTCAAAGACGGTGCGGCTGGTAGTATTGGTGAGGGACCAAAAGAGGCAGGGGCTTGCCAGTACGAAATATCTACAGTAAATTTTTGGGAGTCTGCGTAAAGGGATTGTGCCAACTGGTATGATCTTCTGCTCGACGGTAATTTGATCTCAGTAGCACAAACTCGGAATCTCCTTCCTGATGAGCATGCTATGTCTTCTACGTTAATCTTCTGACGTGAAACTTCGTGAAGACATATTACGCGACATGGCTAATCTGGCGACACCCATTATTGGCAGCATCGACATGGCGAATGTCGTAGGAAACTCGTGATAATATAATCCAAATGATGAATTTCTCTGGGGGAGCGCAACGGTCGGCATGAAATACCATGGGAAAGGCAAAGCAAAGAAGTAGTTTATGGGCTGTAAGGATGGTACAAGTGCAGACTTCACAGCAGGTGCCGAAAATGTTTGATAGGAAGGTAGATAGCTAAACAGTTCTCGACCGAAAGTTCATGTCTAGCGCGTCTGTGCTGGCTGGGCGTTTGCGGGAGAAAAAATAGGGCTAGCGGCTCGGTTGGACTGTTGATTATCTTGCGGGAGAAACCGCACCACCCGGCGGTCTGAGAAGTGCATCAGTCTTGGAGGATTCAGAGTCGGGCCGTCAACATCAGTCCTCAAATGACAAGTGTGCGGGTCGCGTTGGAGCAGGACGGCGATGCAAGATCTTGTTCGAAAAGCTGATATCATTCATGCAATCGAGCGTGCATCTGACGAGGATCTATCCAGCCCGTTACCCCGCATCAGCCCCCGATCATCCGCATTCTACTGTTCACATGATTCTCATCGATGCGATAGCCTTATTGGAGTGGGGCTCGAATATTTTCGTTGACCTGCCTCTTAAAGTAAAATCGGTCACTGGCTGGAGTAGCCCAGGGACAATCTGGTATGCCATACGGCTGTCGTCAAGCACTCGTGCACGAGAAAACGAACGGCCTTTATGAAAGATTGTGGCATGCCATGGGGTCGTCTGCGCACTGCGTTGTATTTTCTCGGGAGAGTGGCTCATGCCACATGCCAATACACATCGATGGACCCAACAAAACTTCCAACAGGACATTTTGGGCCCAACAATCATTTGTCCCCAAATGATCGTCCCGCAGTCCTGAGCCACGCGATCGCAGAACTCGGGCCCACCCTTGGTGGCCCCCCCCCCCCCCCCCCAATTTGTGGGGGGGGGGTCACAAAACTTGTGTGTGGGGGCTCCTCACCCCCCCGGGGTCGGAGATGTGACGGTTATGACATCATGAGTGGAAATGGCCACCAAGAATATCGTTCAATGTAGGCGATAGTAACGACATCGATAGGGTAGCGGAAGAATTTGAGGCATAGGTGTAGATGATAGAAGTAGGAAGAGAGAGTTAGAAGAGATATATGAGAGAAAGAAGTAAATGCCGATGAGAGTGTTTGAGAGATGGAGAAGAGGAGCAAGTGGAAGAGGAGACAAAGAGAGAAAAGTTGTAGTAGAGAGAAGAGAAGGAGGTAAGCTCGAAGCTAGAGAGGAGACAGAGAGAGAAAGAGAAATATATAAAGAGGAAGAGGAGAGGAGTAAGTGTGTAAGGGGGGGGAGATAGAAGAGAGGCTGAAGGAATGAGGTAGGAGCAAGAGCAAGAGGGAGATTAGAGAGGTCTCTCTACAGACTTGATCGCATAATACCTTTGGAAAGGTCTGTTGCGGCATTTCGTAGGACCAAATGGCATGCGAACGAATCCATAAAGACCAAATGGCGTGGATATAGCGGTACTTCGGGAATATCGTCGGGAGCAAACCGGGATCATTTGGTGGTATGCACGCTACCAAGTCAATACTTAGAGGAACTGTTCTGCCAGTAAACCAGTGAACAATCATGGATGTGCCAGAACCGGATATCTACCGGGGACGGGTGGCCATTGTTTAGTGCACGGTAATCTCCGGCAATGTCTCCATTCGCCACATGGATTTTTTTGGGAACCAATGAGAACGCGGGGAAGCGGACCATGGGCACTTTGGAAGCACGAACACCCCCCCGATACCGAGACGAATCATATGTTCGAACTTCTGCCTTGGCAGTAGCGAGCTTGTTTGGAGGTAATCGTCGAGGTCGGGCGGATTATGGCGGCCCATATGTTAAGATGTGATGCGTAACTTCGTGCTTAGGCTCAGGAAAGTCACTAGGCGATTGACAAAGAGCAGGAAACTGCAGTAATAGTTTGGTAAACACATTGTCGGCGGGCAATGCCAAGCGAAGACCGATCAAACTGCTCTAAATGACTTTACCCGAAACGGACAAGGATGTCAAACTATCGCATAGTTTACGGTTACGCAGGTCCACGATCAAGCCAAACTTGGTAAGGAAATCAGCACCAAGGATGGGGCGTTGGACGCCCGCAATCAGGAAAACAAAGGGGAAACTGCGACGAAGACCAAGGTTAAGAGTCAACACTTTCTGGCCGTATGTATGGAGCTTGGTATTGTTTGCCGCCTGCAATGTCAGTCCGGTTGGAAGTAGGTTGCGTTTTTCTGCATCACGAGGAATAACGCTGGCCTCTGCACCGGTGACAACCAAGAAGTTCAAATTGGTTGAGGGATCGTAGACGTAAAGTTGGCGACTGTAAGATTGGCCAGACGCAGCCGTCGCCATCACTGGCTGGCGTGGAGGTTTCCCTGCTGCGGTTTGTGGAAGACTTCGGATGGTTACAACCAGGTCAACAATTCCTTGCATCATCGCCAAAATGGTGGTAATACCAAAAAAATGACGTTTTGAACTCCTGGCGGGACTACGTCTACTTAGGGAGGAACGTCTAGGGCGTCTACCACGGTAGCGATTAAGGCTCGAGATGGCGAGCTCCAGCTTCGATAACCTCTCAGAAATGGTTTCAATCGGGTCAGTCTTAAGATCGGCGTTAGTGGTCGACTTAACTGCGTGACATGCTGCGGGTTTATGAAAGTACTCACGAACTTTGTATGCTGTTTCAGCCAGCTTGTCCAAAGACAAATCATCTGCGAAGACGGCGAGAAGAGCTGAGGTGTTCGATGGAAGACATTTCGTCCAGAGCTGTCGCAGAATCGGGTCATCGACCTAAGAGGAACCGACCAACGTACGCATGTGCCTGAGAAGTTCTGACGGCTTGCGATCGCCTAGTTCAAGACCGAAAAGTAATTGTCGAATTGTTGGTTCGTCGGAGGCCGAGGCGCGCTTTAATACGGCGGCTTTGTGTTTATCGTAAGGTGCGTCAGCCGGAATCGGATCGAGCAAGTCTATAAGGTCAGTTGCGATGTGGGTAGGAAGCTGGGCAGTGACATGTGCGAACATTAAGGACTGAGATGTAATACGGCGTATGCGAAAAAGAGCTTCCAATTGTAAAAACCACACGTGAGGATTAGATGAATCGAAGGTAAGGAAGGAGAAACCAACAAATATTTCTGAAATGTCAGTGCGGGGATCGTGGTCCGACATAGTCAAGTCACGTCGGGGTCACCAAACATGTAGTGGAAAGGCCAAACGGAAAGGGCTTAACTACATATAAGAACAGTCTATAAATAAGAATGCTGTAGCTGACCTTAGGTAAAGCACGATCTTCGCCAGGCTGTCAGTTAGTCGCACAATCTGGTCGGAAGACGGAACTTAGTCGGCACAATAAATCGACGCGTTAGATCCGATGATCGACGGACGAGGCCAGCAGACAGACGACGACAAACAGCACAACACGCGGAGCCGAAAACAGAAGGCGAATCGAAACCCGAAAAGTGTGTTATCGGTTGTTGGTCAGTTAAAACAAAACTGTACGGTTTTGCTTCCTGTTATCATTACTCTCATATTCCTCTCCGGCACTCTTCCTTCCCTCTTTCGTGCTTCCTTAGCTGCTTCCTTTACATCGGCCTCTTACTAGGCGGCTCGAGCGTACAGCCGTCTACGAGGTATTTATTTTGCATTGCAGCTTATCACACTACTTGGACACGGAAGAGCTCAGAACGCCGGACCGGAGGAATATTACATATTTGGCGACCCTGCCAGTTCACGACAGCAGTCCACCCTAGCTAGATTGTAGCCCTGGAGGCAACAATTATCTTTCTACTATCGTGCTGCTTGTCGTCATATCTCCCGAGCCTAATATACCGTGCTCAATGCCTCTGGCAGGCACATAAATTGATGCCGGTATGGGCCATTAGGGGCGCTGAGGACAGCGCCTGATAAGAGGGGGGATAATGTAGCCGGTCCGCGGGCGTCACGGTAACACGTTAACAGGTAAGAGGTCGGTCGGTTTTGCTTCCTGTTATCATTACTCTCATATTCCTCTCCGGCACTCTTCCTTCCCTCTTTCGTGCTTCCTTAGCTGCTTCCTTTACATCGGCCTCTTACTAGGCGGCTCGAGCGTACAGCCGTCTACGAGGTATTTATTTTGCATTGCAGCTTATCACACTACTTGGACACGGAAGAGCTCAGAACGCCGGACCGGAGGAATATTACAGTGTTATGCTACATAAACTTCAGCTTTGTTGATGGTCAAAGGGAAGTTTCAAGAGTACTTCCCAATTAAAGGGACGTCATGTACTTACAGCTGCCTGTATTGCCGGGCTCACTTGGCTCGGCATGAAGATCTTATCAGCAAATCATTTCAAGGAAGCCAGGGTCGCGCTTATCTATTCAACCAGGTACATTTTCCTTCTCAGTCCTTTTTCGTATGTAAGCTCTATTAAGTTATTACCACGAAATTCAGTCCGGCAGCCACCGCGATGCCCACACTATCTCGACCGGCTTTCGCAGTTTGTTTCCAACTGACGGTGGTAATTGCGATCATCATTAATGAGGATCTTCATTGCATGTCTGCATTATTACAAGGACAGGACAGGATCCAGGGGCGAAATAATTTTTCGCTTAACCAGCTTCACGTCCCACGTGCCGGTGGGCGAGAAGAGCTCCCAGCACCTGGACGTTATAATATATTCTTGCGTTTACACTAGAAAAAAGGAAAAGAAAAAGTGCAAAATAGTCACCGCACTTTCGTGTATTTTCATAGGCTACTTGCATGTGGTTAGAGGCTGAAATGCGTATTCACAAGAATTCAAGGAACAAAACGAACCACATTTTGTCCAGTCCTCGTTTGAAGTCCTCTACCGTTTTACATTCCAGTAATGCTTAGGATGCTTGGGCACTGTACGATTTGAAAAGGAATTTAGCTCTAATATCGAGCCTAGATCTCTGCTGTTTCAACTTTAGACTATGGCCCCGCAAGTGGTCCGACGTAGCTGGTTCAAAGAGATCGGTTGGCCTGAGACCGCTGAGACCCTTCATGATCTTGAATGTCTCTATTAAGTCCCCTCTCAATCTGCGTCTCCTCATTGAGTACAATCTTAAGTTGGCTAACCGAACCTCATACGGTAATCCCCGCTGGCCTTCTATCATTCGAGTGGCCAGTCTTTGCACATTCTCAATACAATTTACGTCCTTCTGCAAGAAGGGCGCCCAGGCCTGAACACAGTATTCCAAATGTGGTCTGACCACTGCTTTATACAAGGGGAGAAAGACCTCTGGCCTGGTACAACTCAGAGCTCTCCTAAGTCGAAATAACTCTTGTCGTGCCTTATGAGCAACATGCTTACATTGCACCGACGGCTTGAAGATGCATTAAGATGACGCCAAGATCACGTGCTTCGATAGCACATTGCATTGTCAGGGACCCAACAGGTGCTTGCAGTACCACATTTTCGCCACTCCGAGTCAACTTGTGGTATTTGCTGACCTTTAAGGGCAGATCCCATGTGTGTTACCATCTAACAACGGTAGCCAAATCTTTAGATAGAGTAACCCTGTCACCCTTGCTAACAAACTTAGGTCATCAGCAAAAATATAGGAGGGATACTCAAGTAAACGGGCCGTCATTTATAGATTTAAGAAACAGTAGCGGACCTAGTACTGAACCCTGGGAGACTCCACTATGTGCAGTACCTGTGTTCCAAATACCATTTTCAACCCTAACACGAAATTTCCTACCGCAGAGGGACGCGGACGGCTAAGCAAGTAGTTGAGTGTATAGTCCAAACCAGATCATCTTTTCCGGCAGAAGGCGGTGGTTTACCGAGTCAAACGCCTTACTGAAGTCAAGATAACATATTTCTACCGGAATCCCGTCATCAAGACACCGGGTTATTTCATCAAGGAAACACAGTAGGTTTGTAAGGCATGACTATTTCCTGTCAAATCCATGCTGTTTCGCTCTGGTCAAGTTATGGTCAGTGTGCTGCTCGCAGATGCGATAACTGTTGAGCTTTTCCTGGCACTTCAAAAGTACGCTGGTCAAACTAACAGGCGATGATTTAGGACCCCCTTTCTGAATGGCCACTACAATTGCCTCCTTTCAATCCTGTGGTATCCTTTCTTCACGAAAAGACGTATTGTAAGGTTCAAGGACTGGAAGCTGGAAAATATCGGCAATTGACTTTACAATGGTTGAAGGTATATTATCAGCCAGGGGATTTGTAAGGGTTTAAGTCTTTCAGAACAGAGAGAACATTTGCTGCAGTTAATTCAATTTCCCCCATTTTCCCTTATGCTATGGGGCTGCGAGGGAATTGAATATTCATTGTCCGCTCGATGAACTTCCTGAAACACACTCAACAGCTCCTGCGTTTTTTAGGTCCTCTGTAACCTGAAGACCATCTGTGTTTAAGTCACTAACAACTTCTTTCAGAGAAGACTTCGACTGCACATAGCTGTAGTAGCGTTTCGGATTCGTCTTTACAATACGCGCCAGCCTAAGCTCGTACGAGTATTTGACCTGTCTCTGCAATTTGACAACCAAGTTGCGACATATTTGGTAACTCTGCCACCTGCGGAATCCGCCGGTTTCATAGTACCTTTTCCATATGGCGTCAAGTCGTTTCAACCTTCTGTCAATTCTTCGGCGTCACCAACGAGACTTTCCTGAGTGGCGTAGTCTGCGTAAGAGACCAAACTCTAGCGGCTGCATGAGCCCACTTTTAATCTTATGCCACCCTTGTTCTGGAGTTGCCTTTGCTTCTTCAGGAACCCAGGTAATGCTCGTGGCTCTCTCCCTCAACAGTATGGTATTAATCCGACTGATATTCCGCGTCATACGGGGTTTAACTGATTTCTTCGGCAACTTAATGGAAAAAAGGAAAGAATATGATCACTTACCGATGGGATCTACTGCGTTACTGGCTGACAACCGATGTTTTTTAATTGCAAGGTCTAATGAAGTGGGATAATTCCCGCCACGACTTCTAGTTGGAAATTTAACGTATTACACAAAGGCGTGTTCATGCACCCTCTGCACTAAGTCACCTTCCAAGGCGTCTGCTTTATTGATCGCATGCTCCCAGCCGGAATATGATAGGTTAAGATCACCAACTATTACAAAGCTTGGGGCTGAAGGAGCAGCTCGTTTTATCAGCTCGCTTAGCTCCTTATCCTCTCCTTGCATCGAGGAAGGGCTGCGGTAAACACAAACAATTAATTCGACCCTACCTCCCACTCTCATAAAACGTAGTGACTTGAACATTGGGAGTGCATATAGCTTACGGGGCTTCCTAATGGCAATAAGCATAAGCAACAAGCAAAAGCACCCCACCTCAACTTTGGCCTCCAGGACGGTCTTTCCCGTATCCTGAGCATTCAGGAGAGTCATTGAATCATTCGAAGAAAGCCAGGTCTCGGTAATCGCAACTACATCTACACCTCCGCATCTCAACGCTAGCCCCCCACTTATTTTTAAGCTACAAGCATTCGTGTACCATACATTTATTGGTGCCTGCCGCGGTCTCTTTCCGCCCTCAAATGTCCTTTTAAATGCCCCTCGGGCTCTGCACCCGAGGGGACAGCCCGTTTTTGGCTCTCGTTTAACAGGAGTAGCTGGGGCCGCAACATGGATCTGTGGAGACTGTACACGGCTTTGTGAGTTGGTGCTTACATCACCTCTGGCTGTTTTGGGGCCTCGGGTCTGAATTTGTTTTTTCGTCTTCGGACGAATAGCCTTGACCTCATTAACCATAGACCTCTCAGTTGCACTTGACTGGGACGACTTTAGACTCTTAGCAACGTCATCGGAGAACGCTTCCCTATGCTTAGTAATTGGGTCAATCGCAATTCCTGTTGAATTCGTTTCTGTTTCCCCTGTTGGAAGCAGCAATCGTGCCCAATCACTTACATACAACCTCAATTCCCTTAAGCGGAGAGTTCGGGACCACACTACTCTTCAACATATCCTTGGAATCATTCGAAGAAGGTACTCTTTGAGTAGCCTCTAAAACGTCGAGATCCGCATTCCGTGGAGTGGTAAAAGCATCCATCTGGGGAGAGTGAACCCCATGAGCTCCACGTAGCATATTGTCAACACCGAGGTTGCGATTGAAATGTTGGTTCATTGGTATAACAGGGCTGGTTTTCATGTTGTGTCGCGGTACTGATGTGGTTAATTGGGCGCGTGATGCGAGCGTATCTAGGGTCATTTGATAACGACTATTCGTTTGACCAGCTAATAGACCCGCTCGGTTAAGAAGAAGATCCCGATATGTCGGGTTTTTGAACTCTACTAACATCAGCCTTACAAGGTCCTCCTGGTGCAAAGCGCTTACTTTCTTCCAACTACCAACTCGATAGATCCTTTTGATGCTAACAAGAGGCGAAAATACGTTTCCTATCCAAATCACGCCTAGTCTTAGCCTCTTGTATCACCGACTCTTTCCAGTTGTAAATAAGCACATTCCTCTGCCTTCCCGTAGCAATTTCAGTATTACGTGCATACTGCTCGAACTGTGAGTGCATTTCATCAAATTTTGCTCGAAGCACTTCGATGACAGATCCCTTTTCCCGGATCATCTCTGCCATGCTGAGCCCATTCAGATCTTCCTCTTCCGAGGTCGTTTGCCTCTCACTGACATGACGAGGCTGAAACAAAGTTATTCACTCGGGAAACGCGAGCCAGTGTCCGCCAAGTGCACACAATGAGAACAAACCCACTTCAATTTAGGGTAAAGTGAGTATATCTCAATCAACTCGTCCAACCGCGAACAAACATTGTGGTAACCTAGTGGGAATCTGTCACTGTATGTTTTTTTCTACTACGCCCCTGCAGCTATGCTCGCCTCCATAATGTCTGTTGACTCTATGACCAACGCAGAGAAACCGAAAATACACGGGTGTGTCACTACAGCAGGAATGCTAGAAATGTAGAGTATTATAAACTAACAACACAACACGCAAAAAAGAAAAAACCGGTTAGCCAATGATACAAAAATTGGTGTGAGCTCACGGGTATGAAAATTTGGTACAATCCAGTTCTTGCTTTACTTCGTATATGCATGTAACGCAGCTCAAACGTCGAAGTGCAGGTAGAGAGTCCTAGTTTGCTTGCTGGTACAACAAACAGATCGCTCGTTAGGCGAGAGTCTAATTCAATAGGACCAGGTCGGGTCGGGATCGTCCGTCGAACAAACTGCAGTAGCTCGTTTCTGAGGTGCACCGCCTGTTTACTCTGCCTTGATGACAGCAATCCAACAATTGATGGTACAGTGTAAAGTTTTCATACTCCGTCACTTTAGATACGCTTCGAAGGCAAAAATTGCAAGTGGGAGGTTCTTCGAAATTTCCTACTGCGCACGTCGAACTGGCTGGAAAAGAACTGTACGCTTGGTTT